GAGACAACACTTCGCTTCGCGCAGCACCAAACTGGACAGAATTCTGATGTCTGCCATCGGTTTTGATCTGGGTGAGGAAGTCTGTCATTCTTGTGAAGAACCCAACTGCCCTTCGACCACCGGGACCGTATATGACATTGTAGATTGTCCCCACAGCCTTCTCAAGTATAAGTGACGATAGTAGCTCATTGTGAGAGACCAGTCGAAGGAACAATATACAGTGTGGATCAAACATAGGCTTCAGAACGCTGTAAGTTATTGCGAATGGAGTCTCAACTATCTGTCGAACTTTGCGAAGACCAGACTCGGTGGCCAGACTTTCAACAAATGTCCTGCGTGTGTCCGGTGACTCGTCGATCATAGCTAGGCCAACTTCAAGGAAACTTTGCATTTGGGTGGCTGACAGCTCACCAGGAGAGCCAGCTAGCGATGATCCCACCCTTGAAGTAGTAGATAAAGGCCTATATCGAAAGCATCAGTGCTATGCTCCTGGCTACCCATAGAACGGATACTTACCTATTCTCACTCCGCGATGTCTTTTTGACAGGGTCAACACTTTCTGCAGGCTCGGAGGGCACCTTCTTGTCGTGTCCCCGTCCCCGTCTCTTACCCTTGCTTTTCTTGGACTTTTTACCGGTCTTATTCTGCGGTGAGGTATGCTCCTGTCCTGCAACACTGTTATTGCCGCCGACGGCAACAGGGCCAGTAGTACGACGTCCTTTGGGAGCTCGTTTTCTTTGCTGAGGTGTAGTAGATGTTTCCTTAGCACCCGCCATTGTGGAGCCGTTTGAGTGAAAGTCTTAGATGAAGGAGAAGAGTTCAGTTAGGAGGAAGGCGACGATGACATGGCGAGATGCGTGTGAGCGAAATAAGGGAGCAGAAGTATGTAGTGGGGTCGATAAACACCTGGCACAGGCGGCGCTAAGCCTATTTGGTAAGTTGCTTCGAAAGGGAAGTGCCCGCTTATTATAGAGTGAAGAAAGTGTCGGGTGGTTTGAAAGAGGTTTCCCGGCACTTTACTTTCAAGTGTTACTATGGCTTGGTGCGTTATTTGGACTTGATTGTGGGTCTGAGGACACTGTCTGTGTACAACCGGTGGTACTAGTAGAAAAGTCATTGTAAATCAAGTCATTTGGGTGTAACTGCAGACGGGGCTGATTTTCAATTTCCAATCACCTGGGAGTCAGAAGTCAAGTACATATTGATGACCCTTTTATCCTTACAATACACATAACACAGTGTTACATGGCTTGCATATCGAGGCCCACTGGTCAAAAACAACAATGGCCAGGAAACAAAGCACAATCAGACCTTTGTGGGTGTCTTCACTGATACAAAAAGCAATGTCATGCGCAGGGAAAGAAGCTGAAATCGTAAATGCGGGAGCCTTGACCCCTGGTACCGTGGTTTTAATCGGTCTTACTATTCACAAAATGCAACCTGCGAGTCTCGGGGTCTGTAACATTGTGTAGTACTCGCAGTTACCAATACGCTTGCAGCTGATCTATGAATTATATAGACACTGGCAAATCATCGTAACAATTTCATGGCATAAACTAAACCGGCGACTTACAGCTTACTCTGACTCGCTTACTTGGTAAGTTATTAGCACCCTTTGGTCATATACAAACTATACCGCATGTTAACACCCTGGTTTGCTTTCACTACGTGGATTTCATGGAGTGCATCGCCATTGGGGAACTCTGTCGGAGGGTGTATATGTCTCCCACCTCTCTTATGGTGACTGTATAGCCGTTCCCGAGCGAAAGGTCGTAATGGCAATTCGGTGTAGAAATTAATGGCGACTTTGACACCTGCAGAGATGGAGCGCCTGTGGTGGTCTCCTTTTCTTATGTGGGCAGGCAGCATCAAGTTTCCGATGAGTATATTCCTCTCTCTCTGATCACCCGTGGGCAACGGTAAAGGGTCGAATGTTTACTCGGAGGTGCACTGTTCCAAAGCCGACGAGATATGCAGGACCAATTCAATTCATTGCTGTGTCAGAACCGTATTAGTTTTGGGAGGAGAGAGAAGGGAGGAAAACCAGGCTATCAACGTGTCGAGAATAACGCAACAACGAGACGCAAAGAATATTCATAGAGAAGACCAAGCCTCTTTCCTATGCATGTTTCCGAAGGATCCAGTCTCCCCAAGCGTGCACAGCGGTGGAGAGGAATTTGGATAGTATATAGCCTTCTAACAGCTATTATCCGGGAAGGATAGATTGCAATGTGTCTAATGTGCCGTCTCAATAGAGGAAATTGTAAAAATGTATATGTGAAACGTGAAGCAGAAACATCGCGAAAAAGTCAATTTTGATGTTTGAGATCGAGGAATGTGGACAAACAACAGAAGTAAGATGAAAACGCCTAGCAAGCAGAGAAAATCGTCGAATGAGTCTGTAGTTTCCGGGCAATCTACTACTGGTTTCAAGATGACGATCATCAGGTTCAGAACCAGAAATCTCTCAACCACATACTGCGCCAACCAATATAAGCAGGTAGGATCACCACGGGAAAGTCAAACCACAAGAGGCTCTGCCACCAGAAATAGAAAGCATCCAGATACTTGGATGAATGTAGTCTATTCGCTTCCAAGTTTCCGAACTGAGCGATCGATTTTAAGTTTTCCATCCAACTAAAGTCAAACGTTAACTCAATCCTACTTATGGTGCGGGAGCCCACTTTTTGAGAACAATCTGCCAACAAGTGGAAATTACCCTTTTGCGGGCATGATCATCTCCTATGAGACGCTGGATGCCACAACTAATACGAATGAAAAAGTCTTCTGAGTAAAGGACCTAACAAAACTGCTGGGCGTTGAGGGCTTTTGAGAGTAGATGGCAGATCATGTACCGTGCTTGTCTCTTGCCTTATGCTACTGCTACTATGGTTAATGCAGCGTGATTATGCGAGTCATGTAGCATTGGCCAGCATTGCGTGACAGCCAACATGTCTGATGAATCGCTCCCTTGCGGGAGAATGAATGCTGCTGTATCCTGCGATCGGGCCGTCTGCGAGCCACTTTGCAGGGATGCAGACTTTTTTTTCCCCTGATGCTTGTCCACCAGAAACAAATGTGTTGAGAAATTAATTTGTTCCAAAAGATTACGATTTTGTCAACATACGAACTGAGAGACATTGAATCAAGCTGACCGTAACCTGGACTTGGAATGCTACTTTGTGCAACCATCAACGATAAGAGCGCCGATCGTACCTGATGTCAGCCATACATATTCCCCAGGGTGAGACATTGCCATCATCATAAGACAGATTCCTTACGCCGGACTGTTTCAGATCCTTAATGGCACTTTTGAGAGACGGAATTGCACCCAAACTACCAAGGCTATCTACTGGCGTCTCAGATCTCGTGCTACATGCCAGTGAGCGGAGCCTCGGATCCAAATCTCTTAAGCTGGCACGAAATAAAAGTGTTTGTCAACGACTTTTGTCATAGGTCAATGCTAGGTGGTGAGCGAGATCCGAGGGAGCAGTAGTAGCTAAGCCAAGTACTTTGCCACTCTGTTCCCGGAAGGGGAACGGGCAGATGCGATGTCGTCTTATTGGACAGATGTGCCGCACAGGGATGGATCTATGCCCAAGTTCTTCTTGTTCACATCGTGATTTCGAGGCCAGAAGATCAGGTTGCATTTGGGCCGGATTCAGCGAAAGTAGAGGACGAATGAGCTTCCATTGCGCGGGCATAATGTCCGGCACAAATCCTGTTGCAGTTATGACAGTCATTGGGAGGCGCAATCTAAGCAATGGAGTAGGGCACGGTCTAGGAATTGGCCCATCTACCAGCATTAGTCGGGGATCTCAGCATATGCCAGGCATCGGGGCCGACTAGCCAGCTCAGCTCATTAGAGAATGCGCCACTAGTCTCGAGGGTTTTCTGGTGTAACCGACAATGCATCTATATTAGGCAAAGTCCAGTTGCAGACCACTCATCATCCACTACTTGAATTGCCACGGAGTTAGTCCCGAGTGTCAATAGGGAGAAAAGGGATATCAACAAACGTCTCAGCTGTTACCTGAAATTTGGTTCTGTTGTGCAAGATTCCTGTGTAAGATTGAAGCAATTCCTGACTTGGAGAGAAAGTAATATCTAGGCGTCACATCAATTGATCTAGATGACCCATAGCCGGTAGAACGAGGGTTGATGATTGCGGACGTACTACCGCAATGTGTTGAGGTGAAGAGGATCGCCCAACGAGAGGACTCGAAATTGAGACTAGGCGGTGCGGGGTAGGGGAGGGTGGGCCTCCGCTTAGCGTCCGGAGGGTAGCACTCGGTTGACCGTTTAGTGGCCTCTCCAACAGTTCCTCTTCGCTAACTTCCACTAGGCCTCCATTGTCTCACTTCCTCCCCCGCGGACCCTGAACTTCCGATGCGCTATCCTGCTCTTCTCCCTGTACACTTGGCGACCTGCATTAGCTAACATCCACTCACCAACAAATGAGAATCCGGGGGCGGGCCGGGTGTAGAGCCCATCGTGGCGCCACCACGCTCTGGTTCTCCTACCATCGAAGTCAAATTGATTGCTTCTCGCGATGATTACTTTGTTGCGCTGGTCAGGTGCTAGGTACTGTTTTCTCTCCGATTCTATCTACTACTATTGCTGTATTGCAACCGAACGTGCCAGCAATGACAATGATAGGGTCAGGATGTGCCAGGAAACCAGGGACTGGGAACCCTCAAGGTTCCGGCCACGCTCAAAGAGGAAAATGAGCGCCGGCCCTGCAATCAAACGCATTGGCCCAGAACAATCATTACAGTGACGATCACCAAAGCGCTTTTCAGGAACGAGCCAATTCTTGTATCATGGACCAGGTCGACGTCTCGGTTCGAGCACGCTAATTAGGTCGACCCCAGGAATTGCAGGGAAATCTTCCCCTGGCCCACATTTTCGCCTCGGCCGCAATTCCCTCCCATGTGAGCTCTAACCTGTCCATGGTGTATATAAAGAGACTCACCCACGGCCATTCAGTAGAAGTACAGCAGAGCCAATCTCAGCCTCAAGCACTCGTTCAGTTCTCCAGCTTTGTTTATAATAACATATCTACTACTCTTAATATCTATTCAACCACCGTCGTTATCACCGTCAAGATGAAGTTCTCCGCTGCCTTGTTCACTCTGTTGGCCACCAGTGTCATGGCCAACCCCACCAAGGTCGCTCGCGAGCCTACCCTCGTCGAGCGTGACGCTGCTTCCATCACGAGCGTCCTTTCCGACATTAACACCCAAGTTCAGTCTCTTGACTCGGCCATCAACTCTTACTCTGGAGGCGACCCCTCCAAGGTCGAGTCCGCCTCTTCCTCTTTGGTTTCGGAGATTAACTCTGGTGTCTCTACTGTCAACGGAGGATCTGAGCTCAGCGCCACTGATGCTCTCACCATCACTGGCCCCGTTCAGGACCTCACCAAGGAGGTGCAGACCACCATTGATGATCTGATTTCGAAGAAATCCGACTTCGTGTCCGCTGGGGCTGGTGCCACTGTCTACGCTCAGCTGCAGAAGCAGTACACTGCTTCCAAGAACCTGGCCGATGCCATCACCTCCAAGGTCCCGTCCTCTCTGTCTAGCATCGCTAGCTCCTTGTCTTCCGGTATCACCGACGCCATTCAGAAGGGTGTCGATGCCTACAAGGACGTGGCCACCTCGTCCGCCTCGTCCGCTAGCTCCACCTCTGAGGCCTCCAGTGCTACCTCCGCTGCCTCTGCCACCGATGCCACTACTGCTGCCACCACTGCTGCCTCCACCACTGAGAGCGCTGCTGCTTCCACCAGCTCCAGCCCCGTCATCCCTAGCTCTCCCTCCTCTGCTTCTGCCTCCTCCACTCCCAGCGGCTCTGCCTCTGCCTCCGCCTCTGCTTCTCCTTCCCTCTTCACCGGTGCTGCCAGCGTGGAGCGCTTCAGCTACACTCTCGGTGGTGCTGCTGTTGCTGCTGCCATTGCCATCGCTGTCTAAGTGGGACATAACGATGGACAGCGTGAGCCATGCGACGAATAACGAGGTGAAATGGTCAAGGTCCACAACACTCCCTTTACTGCTTCAATAAAGGCAATGGACTTGCCGAATGTATATCTTACTACTGCCTCATGAGGCTTAGAACCTGTACCATTTTCGAGGCTTGGATATTTTTGTGATTTTTTTATCATCTGTTGTTATAGCTATAATACAGTGTATTCTGGCGACGCTTGTGTCTAAAAGCAGTAATATAATTACAGAGTAGCATAACGGGTCCAACTGGTCTCTCCTCTACTGCCCTTGTAAATCTGGAAGTATTCAGGATCTCCCTCACCCACTATACTGTCATAGGTTGGCATGTTGGTGTGCGAGCCCTCCAAGTCATCCGAATCAGAAGGCCGGTCAACGCATTGCCCTTGCAGAATCACATGTAACATTACTGGTCAGCCGTAGCTACTCCCTAACCGCGATCTAATGCAGGAGACCAGAAAAGTCCCGCAGGCTACCTATTCGCAACACATTCCCGTTATGGGCAATTTTACTGCATTGTAACAGCGCTTGGAAACTTAGTTCCCGGGGTTGGTAGCAAACCCTTGATAGGGCCAACTAGCTGAAGACATCATGCACGCACCTATTCTGTTACGTTATGTCAATGCTCAATCCGTGCAACAAGGGCCGACTTGTAATTCGCGTGTAGACGCATGGCAGCTATGATAGATGTGACGGGGGAAACCACCTTGGCGTATAATGACGCCTGACGATTTCATGATGAGTTAGGCGCTTTTTCTGGCTTTTCGTTATGGCAATATTCTGTGGAATGAGGGTCCTTGGTCATGGTAGTTAAACTGGTGATCTTTGATGTGCCAAATACCACCCTGTGTTGATCCTAGGCCCGTGTAATTAATATATCTTAACCTACATTGAGCTCCGACCTTGAGCAATACTGGTAACTCCGTATCCATTTCCTTAAAGATTGACGCTTCGGTTTTGTAGAGTATTATCTGTCGTCCAAGATCGTCATGAAGCTCAAAAGCAACCCCAAGATACAAATACTATGCAGAAGCTTTGGTAAGGCATCGCAGAGAGGTGTAGCTATGATGGCTCTAAACTCGGCACGCCATAGCCCATCATACCGAATTCAGCTTAGACGTTCCGCAATATCCGTCTGCCTCCCACCAGGCCTCTTTCGGTTAGCAAGTCCGCTTGGATGCCCCGATACCACCCATTCACATTGGCCTTTTGATGTCGGAGTCCGCACGGAGTGAGGCACACCAACAGTATCGTTGGCCACTAATCAGTCTAATGGAAGCGCTCTCCTTTTCCCCACTTCAGTCTATTCGATATCGAGACACAATTTGGCAGAAGCAAAATGCGCCAGGATCTATCCACACTAAACATGTTCCGACCGCCGACTGGCTAACCAAAGACACGGCGCTTAGCAGAGCGTGACCATCGCTCGAGAGAAGGAGAGGCGCTTATCCTTAACCACACGGCCCCGTGATAAGGCTAGCGGTTATATAACCGGAGAACAACCTCGATTTCAGGCAGCAACATCACACCACAAGTTCTCCTCCTCTCCTTCCGCGTTCTCCCTTAATCGAACATCATGGCTCGAAAATTCCCCGTCGACTCGGCTGGCCCGGATATTGTCCGCGACTACATCATTACCACCCTAATCAGAAAGCATGAAGCGACGCCAGAATACGCAGAGAAACTGGCTACCTCCTGGCAATTAGGCCGGGTCCGGGAGCTCCGCTCCGCAACGCTGAAGCATCTGCAAGACGACTTTGGAAATGACGTTGGCTTGTGTATTTATCGCTCCATTCGAGAGGATATGCTCGAAGACTGGCAGGAAACGACTGCTGCAGCAGTCACAATTTGTTCATTGCCCCTCGCTTATTCCATTACAGTAGTCATGGAAACTAACAATGTTTCGCTCAGGGTCTGTGTCTACCGCGACGATGATCCATCTTGTGGTTGTCGGGTTGTTCATTTTACCCGAATTGGGACTCATGCAACCTTGTGGTATGTTTTCCTTCTGATTTCGATCCAAATAGTGTTACAATCTACATCGCTGACTGTCGTCTCTGCTCGTAGAACGTATCCGCGTGGCAAAGTCGCCTGCGTCGTGGCTGTTGTTTGGTTTCGCCTGGCTCAATTATCACTACCAGAGACAGGATATCGAAGAGCCGGGTCATATATCACTCGCAGGTCCTGTAGGGCTTTTGAGTATAAGTGTGGGTCTGTATTTGTTTTCAATGTAGAGTACATGCCTTCCAGTTTTCTTTTATAATGTTTATGGAGACCGCTTGCAGTATGTTGAGGCACTCAAGGAGGGTTCTAGTTGATTGAATATGCTGTGGCGCGCATTACCTTTTCGGAGAGCAATGATTAGCATCAGTGTCTCACACATTCAGCCACTAGCATCTAGTATAAGCATTTAGTAACTCTGAGAGCTAAAGAGTAAGATTGCATAAATCTGAGGTATGTTGCTACAGCGACTAAGTGGCTGGTAAGTTTGCTCCATAGTGAGATAATGTGGAATGCCCATTGAATCCTATAATAAACTACAGGAAAGGATTTCGTGCATCTTCCCCCCACGGACCAATCCCAGGGCCTTTGAACAGTTTACCTCCCTTCCAGACGTGGGTAATCACCCTTGGTTCTTGGAAGACTCTGATATCCTCCAATGGATTCTCCTCCAACGCAATCACATCTGCCTCGTACCCCTCACGAAGCTGACCCGTTAATGGTGCCTGTGGTCCAACCGACAAGGGAGCGTTCGCAGTTGCAGCTTTGATGGCCTCCAACGGTGTCATGCCTCCTCTCTCGACAGCAAACTGCAACTCCAGCGCGGTAGGTCCACCAGGGGCGGTATCAGTTCCCAAGGCAATAGTAACACCCGCCTTGATAGCCCCCTGATAAGCCTTCAAATGCGAATCAGCAAGTGCCTGCAACTTGGCCCACGACTCCTTCACCAACCCCTCTCCATTGCTAGCGAGAAATATTTCAATAACCGAGCGCGTGGCCACATAAAGAATGCCCTTTTCTTTCATAAGCTCCCACACTTCCTCGTCAGCATAAGACACATGCTCTAGACTTTTACAACCTGCTTTTATAGCAGCCATGATTCCCGCCTTGCCGTGTACATGTGCAGAAACGATCCGGTTCTGCCGAGCAGCCTCTTCCACTATCACCTTGAGTTCCTCTGGAGAGAATTGTGCAAAGTTGGGGTTATCGTCTCGCGACATGACACCCCCCGAAGCCATCACCTTGATAACCTTTGCACCGCGACGGAGTTGCAACCGTACCGCTCGTCGGACTTCCTCCACGCCGTCGGCGATACATAGCTGTCCTGCTCCCCAGTATCCGGGCCGAGGGTTCGTGACTCCATAATTCCCTAGAACCTCACCTGCGGGAAGAGCGAAAATATCGCCGTGTCCAGCCGTTTGACTAAGAGCAGCGCCGGACGAGTACACATTTGGCCCAACGATCGTGCCGTCATCGATTGCCTTCGCGACCTCGCACCCATATCCGGCCAGGTCGCGGTAGGACGTATACCCATTCTGCAATCCTTCCCAGCACCCACGGGCTAGTCGAGCTCCTGATGATGCTGGATGAGTGGCCAGACCAGAGGTATAATCATTGTAATAGTCGTCATCACCGCCAAAATGCATGTGGCAATCCCACAATCCGGGCATGAGCACGGGGACACGATGAGTGGACTGCGTGGACCGGAGGTATTTCTTAGGAATGTCGGCTTCGGGCCCAACGAACGCGATGATTTTATCGCTGATGACTAGGGCGGCATTGCGCAGAGGTTCTCCGTCGCCAGGAATCAATAGACCGGCATATATTATAGTGACTTTGGCTTCATCTGTTGATGCAAGGACGAGTGGTCTTCGATGGATATTCATCGAAACAGAATTAGGACGGACACAATATGTTGCGCCAAGTGGCGACATGGGCGATTGTGCCATAGGAGTAATTGGAACAATTCGGCGAACCATGACAAATCGACTTGGATGTCCGAAAACCAACACAGGGAAACTGGGGAAACTACCAAATAATAACCCCAGAGGTGTCGGGGAAAATGGTCTGTCAGCAATTGCTTGTCTCGTATCGGAGTCCGTCGGGGCTATCCCAATCCTTCCTCTGCCATCGTTATCAGCCGATAGTATGTGAGATTTTAGCCGGTAAGCTAGACCATCTCGGGTGTCAAGGCTTAAGCCACCCTATCCCGCCTCAGACGACGAAGGTCTGGATCCGTTTTCTCTCTCTTATGCAGAATCGAGTATGATTAGCGCCGATTTGCCATCATGCGGTTACGGTGCTGAGTAGCTTACTCATGACGCTCCCTGCTTGGCGATAGCATGAATCAGCTGATGAGGCTTATAGTGATGTGGGAACAGCCGCAGGTGTAGGCGCTCGATTATCATCAACTGTGAGGCCTTTCTATCACGTCCTTGCGCAGTTCTTGCTCATGAAATGCTGCCTTGCTTGGATAATATCCTGTCTGTCAGACTGAAAGTATCGGATGCTCAGACGCCTGTCGATTGTCTAGACACTCCGCGTCATCGCAATCTGCGCATGATAAAGGAGTGTAGGCAACGTAGGCCCACATACAGAATTACTATAACAAAAGCTGACCATGGTACTAGTAGAATCGGCGTCTCCTGTGACGCGGGTATATCATCTCAACTATGGATATGAATAACACGGATGCTCTCGTGTATTGACACTGTATCGAACTGTGACAGTGAGATTTCTTCCAGAGAAGCTAGAAAGGTCACTAAATGTGCTTGGCCATTCAGATGATGGCAAGTCTTTGACTAGACTTAAGACCTTGGGCACGATCTTTTTTCAATAGCTGCCTTCTGACAGCTTTTCCCCCTGATTCGGGTACTGTCATCGCTTAATATGCGACCGGGGTGCAGTTTGCGGTGATGTTAGCCACAATATTTCTGGGTCGGATATCATGTTTATTTGACCCAAGGAAATGATTCCCGCCGTTCCATTGTGTTGGGGCAGTGTCTCAGCCTGCCTTCCGCCCCCGGCCCCCAGCTTTATTCGTCTCAGCCCGTAATACGGACCTCGCGAATGGGATGCAGTCATGAAGTCTTGAAAGATTTTACAGCTTCCAACCACCAAGTCACCCTGCATAAAACCTTATAATTAAACTCGCAGAACCATCCAATGTGAGTGAACTTGCAGAAACACATCCCTGGCAAGGTTTTGGCGCCACGAACGGATCGATCGATCTCACTCTCCTGATCGACGAGGAACGGTGGATCCGAAGTCGATCATTACTCTCCTCGTAAGTTTTATTGTCCTGTAGTAGCACACTATGCTAAATAGCAAAAGCAAAACCTACGCAGGGAAATTGTCATTTCCCACCGCGTACTTAAGAACGGAGCAGCCCCTCTTCCCGGCACACTCGCGTGTCACACAACCTGAACGGTCCAATCGAAAGATGCGGCTCTCTCCAATCTACGTGCTGGCATGGGCTCTCCAGGCCTCAGCTACCATTCTGCAGAATGGCCAGGTCCGAGAAGACCCCTACCCTGGCCAGGCTAAGGCTATCTCGTTGGATGATGGCTCTTGGCGAACTTATCAACCGGACGCGTCGGAAATCGCATATAAGGGGAGGTGGGATAGTAAATATGTCTCTTGTGAGCCTTCCGTGCTGATTACATCATTTTGGTGGTGTATGTTGCTAACTGACTGGTTCTTCAGGGTGGTCGTATGTCTCAATCGGTTTCCCTGGGTGATGACGTCGGACTAACAGGTACAGACTTCCGGGTATCAAGCTTGGGTTTACGGGCGAGCAGGTATGGTAGCGTCGGTCATGAGATACTGGGACGCTTTCAACTGACATGGCATAGCTTGCTGTAAGCTTCGGTCCGCAGACGAGTGAAGGCGTCCTTTTGGCTTATCGGTAGGGATCTGAGCAAGGGAATTGGTTTCTCCTGCTGACTCTATAGGATTGACGGTTTGGACTGGCAATTCTCCAATGTGACTGCGAACTCAACATATCAATTTGCCGGGTCGTGGACCCCTGGGTTGGATTTAGCCAAGAACAACACATTTGAGATGAGAGGTGAGTGCAATTCTTCATCGATTGAACCGCATGCTGACGGTTATCTAGTCACGAACTGGGGTTATGGATAAGTGTATCGATCCGCCATGTAGACGCCTTACTGACCTTTCTCACAGTTCAATTGGCTGGTGTCTCGGTCGCTTCGGATTCACAGCTTGTTACAGTTCCTCAATACAGCAAGACTGTGGAGATCATCGGTGATTCGTACGTTCCTTTCTCCCATCATCACGCCACAGCTAACAGCCTTAGCTTCGCATCGGGACAATATGGCACTTACGAAGGACTTTCCTCATGGGCATACAACTACGCCGCTGGGTTAGGCGACGTCGAATACTCGATCACCGTATGTTCCCGTTGCACTTTGCATGCGCCATCTAACCATAACAGGCATATCCCGGTATCTGCTTGACGGACGAACAATGCTACGCGGACAAGGCGCGCGGGATGGTTAGTTTCCCTATATCCCACAGACACAAGCCTCTAACTCGATCAGACACACCAATGGTTCTACGCCTCCGATGCAGGTGTGCGTGCGAGCGCCACTTACGGAAACCAGCCCGAGAAGTGGGATTTCAGTGCCCATCGCGCAGCAGACCTAGTCATCATTGACCTGGGTACAAACGACCACCGAGCCGTAAACGACATCCCCGGTTCGACCTTCTACGACAGCTACGTCGAGCTCGTGACCAGCGTACACGAAACATGGCCAAACGCACAGATCGTTATCATGGTATGGCAACCTCTTCCCCTACCCCAAGCCGAGAAACCAACCGCTGACAATCTCTCCAGTCCCTCTGGGGCAATTTCACCCGCTCAGGGGACACCTACGTACAATCCCCCTTCTACGTCTCCGAGATCCAGCGCGTGGCCGAGCATTTCCAAGACGACGGATTCGTCTATTACTTCGACACCAAGGGCGTGCTACAGCACAACGACATCGACCCGCAAGAGCACCCGACCGACGTCGGCCACATCAAAGTGGCCAGCCACCTGATGCAATGGACGAAGCTGAAATTGGGATGGGAGTTTGGAGCCACAGGACCGGAAGTCCAGCATGACACGCTGTACTGGAACAACGAGGATAGTTATCGGCGATCGTTCGATGGCAGTTACTGATCTATATCATCCATCATATACCTAATAATACACGGATAGATAGATAAATAGATAGATATTACAAGAAATGTAGGACAGCGACTACATGCTGAGACACAGCAAAGGGAG